GCTGTGACTTCTTGCATCCCTGCACCCTAATATCAAAGTGTGGTTTCAGCCACCTGTCAGGAACAGTTCTTTCCAGACCCTATGCAGACGACACAATCCGGGGATGAGTGAGAAAACAAGGGGGGGAAAGTCATGCAGGAGACGGGAATGAAGACAGGGGCCGTGTCCTCGGTGTGCTGGTGTTTGGATAAGGTGTGGCCGAGGCAAACAATGTAAAGAATAAGTCCAAAGGGGAATCCAAAAATGGGCAAAAGTCCATGGCCAGGTGATCCATCCAAAACAAGGGATTAAAAACAGGAACCGGGTCGGAACTGGCAGGGGCAACGGGAACAGGCATAGAAACTTAAAAACATAACGGAGCCAGGCGCATCCAGGTCCCGGACTCGCATGATATGGAAACCAATGCAGAGCCTCGAGTGAAGTGAGCGTCTGGCTTTTAAGGGTGAACTAAAACGGAGAAGGAACAAGGAACAGGTGCGGGAAATTAGGCAAATGAGGAAGGGCTGGAGCGCCCTTAAGAGGAGGGGTTTGTGATCGTGACACCACCCTCACACATACACCTAGGAGCATGTGGCTCTTTCTATTTTCCTGGTACCCTGGGGATATTTTGTTTCCCTTGCATTAACCTACAACATACTGTATGTTCTGTGACCACAGTCCTACCTGAACTATGGTAACTTTCCCTGCTCTGGTCCTAATTAGTAAGATTCTCACTCCATATACACAATGTATCTACATCTGAGCCTAAAATCAATGCAGGTGCTGCCATCGGTATGAGATGATTTGAATATTTACATTCCCTGATTGACAACTGACTGCCACCTGGGTCTTTATCCTGACTTTTCTTGATTTGGGTCTTTAGTCTTGACACTTCCTACAGCATAGTGTCCTCAAGCCTTTATCCCGACTGCCTTACATTTTCAAGTCCAAGAACAGATTGAACTTTCACTACAGCATGCTTTTTAAAATCACATCTTCTAATAATCTTTGTTTTTGAAGCCTAACCTGATCCTTGAGACCTGCTGAAATCTGCTAAAGTTCATAAGAATGCACACCACAATGTTTGAACTTTAACTTAGATCTGTGAACACTCTGCTATACAAGGAAGTGGTTTATTATAGTTTAATCTAAAAAAAAATCAAATTACAGTTTCAGTGGTTGAAGTAATACAGTGAAGAAAATTAATTATTTCAATAATTAATTAATTCTTAAAAACAGAAGATGCTGCTGAAATTAATAGAATCCAATACTGTACCTGCTGCTGACATCTTTCAGGTGCCAAAACTGAAGGTTCTTTTCAGTTTTAACCTAAAATAACACCAAAACACAGTCTTTTTAAACTGTATTACCTATTAATAGATACAGTATACAGTATATAGTTAAAAAGCAGAGGAGTGTAAACAATTAAATGAAGGACTTTAACATGTTAGTTGGCATAATAAATTACTACCAGCAGCTTGCCTTCCAAACGAATTGTGGCAGTAAATCTTTACACACCCTTATTGTCAGGGAGCAATATAACAAATATAATATAATACAAATATAATCTTGGCTCTCATTTCTCTCAGTAATTGGAGTTTCTATGGGACTGGAATCTGCATCCTGTAAAAGGATGCTAATTTCCTGTAAGAATACAAATAGTGCTCCTTCATTTAATTGAATGATATAACATGCTTCAAGGGTGCTGTGTTCCAACTTTCACCCCTCTGGTACCTGATGCTTTGTCACAATGTGTTAACAACTCACAAAGTGCCACAATTAAAATTGTTTTCATCTTAGGAGTTGCATTAAGATGATCATTGTCAATCTTTACACATATTACACATACAAGAATTACACATCTGCAATTCTGAAGACTTGCTAATTGAATAATTTTTAACAAATGCAATCATTAATTTACTCAACAAATGCAAGCATTAATTTACTTCCAGCTTCTTTTTTAAAAAGGATAAGAAGATGCATATCACCCACTGCAGTAAAATTCTGGAATTTTAGACAATTTGAATTGAGGGATTTCATTCAAATTTGCAGGCACATAAAAAATGAGCTACAATTATTACTTCAAATGGGAAAGATCCTTTACCAGATTGTGAAAACAATTAGTCAGCATCAACAATACCTAAAACAAAAAAATAATTTGTATAGAACAAGTAGTGTATATAATATTGTTAACTGAACATGTTGTTATAGTGCTATGAATCCATCTCAGCAGCTCCATGTGATGAGCTGCAATCTTGCTCTCTAGTGCAAATACATAACTTTTGGAAAGTACTGCTTGACAACAACAATTCGGAACAGAGATAATTGTTTAGAATTAATTGTTTAGAATTACTCTAAGACATTTCAAAGTTTTTTTGCCTGCAAGACTCACCACAGTTGGAGGGAAATTTCCCCTGAACCCCTTTCACAGCTACAATCAGCTCTAAATTTAGATTCTCTGACTTCACTTCCCCACATTTAGAAGTCTCTTCCTTTCTCTCCCAGTCACCTTCAGTTATTACTCCAATTCTGCGTCTTTTTATTTTTAGTGTAACTTTTTTTTCTGAGCTTTTCCTTTTTAGAAACCAAGAGATTCGAGCCTGAAGTGTCCGTTCGCCAAGCCAAACTTTATTGCATGCACACAAGGAACCACAACAAGGACCATAGTAGCTCCAAGGGGATATGGCTCTACACAGTTTACATACACTTTAATCTTCACCCCCCTCCTGTCTTTGAGGTACCTTTCTTAAGAAACTCCAGGACTTAAAACATTCCTTTCTTATCAGGGAGTTTAGTATAAACATTCCATCCCCATCAAGAGTTTAGTACAGAAGATAGGAGTTCAGTACAGGGAGGCAGATGCAAGTGTGAAGGTTAGAGTTTAGCATGTGATTTCAGCAGAGTTCACAGCTCCTACCACTATATGGGTACAGAGTAACATACGGATTCTGCTAGCAGAGTCCATCACCTTCCTTCTTACATGTACCCACTACCACCTCCTCTGCTTGGCTCTTAATGGTAAAGCAACAGAAATCTGCAGTTGATTTTACTAAACAGGAAGCACTGCAGGAAACAGGGGCAGATAAAGACTCATTCTCAAAAACATGTTGTGTCATTTACAAACAATAGAGCTTGTAATCTAATGTAGAATAGGTCACTTTAACATGGAGTATGATATAATACAAAAGTTTAACATCTATGTATCATTAGAATACTTCTGTGTTCAAATCAATAATACAGTATGTAACTGTCTTGAATGTCCATAAAGTTCACCGCAGTAGTGACAGCATAGAGTATGTCACATCTGGTGAAAGCTGTTATAAGAAATCTGATACAAGATTACAGACTCCAGACAATGCATTAACAAGACTATCACACTTTTAAAGACTGGACCATACATTAGCAACAATAACACACTATCAGAGACTTTATATTACCAACACTGACACACTCTCATAGACTTTACATTAAAAGCACTGACATACTCGTAAAACATGAAAACTTCACAACAAATGCAATTTCACAACATGAAAAACACTCTTCTTGACTGTACTAATGAACAACACTAAAACAATATCACTTACTGTACATACTCTATCACTTGCTGTATTTTACTACCTTTTGACAACATTGAACCACTCTTTCCAAATATACTTCATTTTTAACAACAGACACACCCTCCCCGCAACTATCGCACATCAAGAAAGCTGATACTCTTTCATTTTCAACTGTCATGCACATCAGTAACACTAATGCACTGCCTTTATCTTTACTGCACATTCAAAAGTAAGCTGGGTGTGGCTACATTGGCACTTAGTTTTCAGTTTTTTCGGATAAGTGAAAATACTGTATATAACAGGAAGTATGAGAATGCTTGCCTTTTTTAATTTTCTCTTTCCCACATGTTCATCTTTGTAAATGTTCTACATACTGTACACAAGCTCTGTGTTGTACTGATTTTCAAATTAGTAATCTATATTCTGTTTATAGATAGAATAATATTGATTGAAAATTTTTTAACACAAAGTTTTAATTATCCTACAACGGAACAAGTAATAGTTTTATTCCATGCTGAAAAGAGAAAGAAACCACAATGTTTCGGCTACACTTGAAGAAGGCTCCACAGCCAAAACGTTGTGTTTACTTTCTTCTCTTTTCTTGTTCCTTTGCAGCCTACCCATGCTGATGCAGCTACCCACCTGAACTACTTCAATTATCCTAGTCTGCAATAGATGAGCTATATAATATATATAATAGCTTGTGATTCATCAAGGAACTTTTATTCAATTTTAGATTCTGTAACAATGAAGGAGACAGTAGATTTTCAGCGGTATTATACAACGTCCACTTCTAAATGATCAACTTCATTGTGTGCTAAAATGTGTATTTTCTGTCTGAATGTTTTACCTTTCTATATAATAGAATAGTATAAGGAGTTATTATAGTATACTTTTTTTAAAGCTCCTTATTCCATGTTGCTGAATCTTTGCTTTAAATTCACAACCTGACTGAAAGACCTTACAGAAGCTATTTAACCAATGATGTGGCTTGTTACAGTAAATTTGTGCACCAAAATTTACTTGAGGTTTGCCATAGCAAAGATTTGGAAAATGTAGTTAATCATGCCTTTTCCTTTTTTTTCTTTCATATTAATAAGCTAGTGTTTTTTTCCCTTTATTGCTTTGAATGTGCAGAATAGGAAATGTTAAATATTAATTGTTAACTGAACATCTTGTGATGGTGCTTTTATTATATTGTAGCAGCTTTGTGACACTTGAGCTGCAGTCCCACACTCTGATACAGACAAACATTACTTTTG